AAAGGCATATTTGAGGATAATTGAGGAAGTCAACCAGGTGCAACTAGTGTAATTGCACATTAAGGTTATACATTTGCCTGAAAGTATCTAACGTAGGATATTAGGGAAGGATAAATGGATCTCCTTGCCATGATGGAGTCAAATATTTTTTGATATAACTTTCAATCAGTGTTCAAGATGCATACTGCTTGCTTCTGTGGAATGCTGGAATTCATGAAAATTTGAATTGGTTAAGGCACAACTATAAATGAAATTGGCATGGAGTTACTTTCCACAAAAGGAAACTATTGTCAAGTGAGACTGTTATATCTACATTTTAGAATTAAAGAAACTCTCTCCTCACATCAGTAGGGTGTGAACGTAGACACATTAAGATTTGATTTCGAGAAGGCCAAACAAACAACAAAATATAGGCCAAGGTTTTGACCAATGCAATAAACTGACATGGTATGATGCCTGCGATTAGGCCACAATCATGGAAATAGAAAGAGTTGCAAATTGCTACTCCAGAACTAGCTATACCTCCAGCCAAGCTGTTGGGGTACAACTAGAAATTTAAAATAAGAACAAAAAACTTTCAACATAAAATGTTAACTTTATTTCTTTGCAGTTATTTCCTGACCAGAAATTTTCTTTCAAGCATTTATTATTGATCTTATAGTTGTTTACATAGTGCTTTGATAGAAAAGAACTTGTTTTCTCTGCCTCCACAAATTCTTTTTGTCTTGCATTCATCAGAACAATTTCCAAGAAATACCAATGTAAAGGGGAAATAGCACTTGTGCTGTATGAGAAGTGAGTCCTTATTGGTAGAGGCATTGCCATACCCAGACTTACTAAGCAGCATCTTTGTAAATTAGATGGCACATAAATCCATGTGTCATCAAACAGTTCCGTTCTCATAAAGTATAAATGATATTTTAAACTACAACATATTGTGCTGGAAATCTGAAACACAATGTTGGGGGAGGTGTAGGGGCAGGTGTAGCACTTCATGCGGTTGCAGGGAAAGGTACCGGGTGTGGTGGGGTTAGTGGGGAGAGTGGAGCAGACAGGGGAGTCGCGGAGTGAGCAGTCTCTACGAAAGGCAGATAGGGGTGGGGAGGGAACTATCTGTCTTTTGTAGGGACCGCTCAATCCGCAACTCCGCGTCTGCTCCACTCTCCCCACTAACCCCACCACACCCGGCACCTTTTCCTGCAAGTGCAGGAAGTGCTACACCTGCCCATATGCCTCCCCTACCACCCTCCTCACCTCCATCCAAGACCTAAAGCAAACTTTTCACATCTGACAGGGGTTCACCTGTACAACCTCCAACCTGGTCTACTGTATCCTTTGCTCCCGATGTGGCCTCCTCTACATCGGTGAGACCAAGCGCAGACTCGTGAACCGTTTCATGGAGCATCTGAGCTCTGTATGCAATAATTGTCAACACCTTCTGGTTGCCAACCATTTTAACTCTTTCTCTCCCCCTGCCCTCCCACTCCCAGGGTGATATGTCCATCCTGGGCCTCCTCCAGTGCCACACTGACACCATACGCAAACTGGAGGAGCAACACCACCTATTCCACCTAGGGACCCTACAGCCTGATGGCCTTAACATCGAATTCATCAGTTTTAAAATCTCCTCATCCCACGTCCAAACCTCCCTTTTGTCCCCGCCTCCTTCACCTGACACAACCTGTCCATCATCTTCCCCAACCTTTCCGCCCTACCCTTCCCACCGACTAATCCTCACTACTCCCTACCTGCATCCACCTATCACCATCCCACCAACCTTTCCCCAGTCCCACCCCCTCCCTCTATTTATTTCCCAGCTCCCTTCCTCCTCCCCATTTCCGAAGAAGGGTCCCAACCTGAAATGTCAACTTTCCTGCTCCTATGATGCTGCCTGACCTGCTGTGTTCCTCCAGCTCCACACTGTGTTGTCCCTTAAATTCATGGGACGTTGGCACCAGTACTGGAGGAGGAGGGAATTGTTCTGGTGGGATTGGTTCCACTTGAGTCATGCTGGTGCCAGAGTCCTGATGAGTTGTGTAACTATGGCTGTGGATAGGACTAGTGGAGGGGGAAACTTATGGTAACAGTTAAAAGCTCAGCAGAGGGTATTCAAAGCTTCTAAATAAGTCAGAGGACAGAGTATGAAAAGGGTCAGGAATCTAACTTCAGGCTCAGCAGATAAAAGAACAACCATCAAAACAGGGGCAGTTAATGTAGCACAGAGTGTTGCACTTAAATGCACACAGTATATGAAACAAGGTGAGTGAGCTTGTAGCGCAGATTGAAACTGACAAGTACCAACTGGGTATCATTGAGAGGGCATCAGGGCTGGGAACTAAATATCAAAGGATATGTGTCCTTTTGAAAGGACAGGCAGATGGACAGAGGGAGTGGGTTGCCTTCATAGTAAGAAATGAAATTTAATCATTAGTAAGAAGTGATAGAGTCAGAAGACGAAAATCCGTGTGGGTACATTTGATGAACAACAAAAGCAAAAAAGACCCAAATGGGAGTTACGTACAGGCCTCATAGCAGTAGTCAGGGTTTGGGGAAGAAAATAAATCAGGAGATAAGAAAAGGCCTGTAAGAAAGGCACTATTGCAATAACCATAGAGAAGACCCTTATGCAGGTGGAGTGGAAAACTCAGGTTGTTAACATCTCAAAATAAATTTTTGGAATGCCAATGAGATGGTTTTTGAAGCCGCTTGTGTGGAGCCCATGAGGGAACAGGCAGCTCTGGATTTGGTGGTGTGTCATGAGGCTGACTTGATTAGGGAGATGAAGGTGAAGGAGCTCCTAGGGGGCAGTGACCATAATATGATAGAATTCACCCTGCAGTTTGAGAGGGAGAAGCTGGAATCAGATGTAACGGTATTACAATTGAATAAAAGTAACTCCAAATATGTGAGGGAGGAGCTGACTAGAGTTCATTGGAAGGGGTGCCTGGCAGGGAAGACAGTAGAGCAGCGATGATAGGAGTTTCTGGGGGTAATTCAGGAAGCACAGCGGAAATTCATCCCAAGGAAGAAGAAACATGCTAAAGGGAGGAGTGCCAACCATGGCTGATAAGGGAAGTCGGGGACGTATAAAAGCAAAAGCGTTCGATGTGGTGAAGATTAATGGGAAGCTAGAGGTTTGGGAAGCCTTTAAAAATCAGCAGAGAATATCTAAAAAAGCAATGGGGGGGGGAAGAATATGAAGTATGAGAGTAAGCTAGCTAGTAATATAAAATATTGCAAGTGTGTGTTTTTAAATGTATCAAAGGCAATGTGGACACTGGATAGCTGGAATATGAGACTGGAGAAGTAATAAAGATGAACAAAGAAATGGCAGATGAACCGAATAGGTACTATGCATCATTCTTCACTGTGAAAGAGACCTGCAGTGTTGCAGAAATTCAAGAGTCGGGGCAGGGGTGAGTGTAGTAACCATCACGAAGGAGATGGTGCTGGGGAAGCTGAAAGGACCGAAGTCCGATAAATCACCCGGACCAGATGGACTGCACCCCAGAGTTCTGAAGGAGATAGCTGAGGGAATTGTCGAGGCACTGGTAGTGATCTTTCATGAATCACTGGAGTCGGGGAGGACTGGGAAATGGCTAATGTAGCACCCCTGCTTAAGGAAGGAGGCTGAAGACAGGAAATTATAGGCCAATAAGTCTGTCCTTCGTCGTTGATAAGGTTTTAAAAGTCCATTCTGAAGGATGAGATTGCGGAGTACTTGCAAGTTCATAGAAACTGAATCACAGAAACCCTACAGTGTGGAAACAGGCCATTTGGCCCAACAGGTCCACACCGCCCCTCCAAAGAGCGTTCTACCCAGACCCATTCCCCTACCCCTGCATTTCCCTTGTCTAACCCACCTAATCTAAACATCCCTGGACGCTATATATGGGCAATTTAGCATAGCCAATCCACCTACCCTGCACATCTTTGGACTGTGGGAGGAAACTGGAACACCCGGAGGAAACCCACACAGACACCGGGAGAATGTGCAAACTCCACACAGGCAGTCATCCACGCTTGGAATTGAACCTGGGTCCCTGGTGCTATGAGGTAGCAGTGCCAACGCTAACCACTGAGCCACCGTACCGCCCTGAGACAGCATGGATTCGTCAAGGGAATACATACCTTACAAATCTGTTAGAATTTTTTGAGGAGCTAGTGGATGTGATCTATTTGGATTTCTAGAAGGCCTTTGACAAGGTGCTGCACAGGAGGCTGCTAAATAAGATTATCCCATGGAGTTAGGGGCAAGATACTAGCATAGATGATTGGCTGAAAGCAGAGAATAGGGATAAAAGGATTTTTTTCAGCATGTCAGCCAGTGACTAGTGGAGTTCTGCAGGGGTCTGTGTTGGGACCACAGTTGTTCCTGTTGTACATTAACCTTCGAAGGAAGTGAGTATTGTTGCTAAGTTTACAGAAGACAAAGATATGTGGAGGGGCGAGGAGGCTGCAGAAGGACTGGGACAGGCTAGGAGAGTGGCCATTGTATTTTGGAAAATTAGGTATTTGTACCATTTTTACAATTAATGTACGAGTTTTAATTAAGGAGGAGTGTAGTGTATTGCAAGATCTGAACACTTTGTTACACTGTCTATTCTGTTCATTGATTTGTTCGAGATGTAAAAGTAAGCAGGTTCAGTAATAGCAGTCCACTCTGAATCCACATGGTGAGTTTTTGCCTTGCAATACATAACAACTTCTATTCCCCTACTCTCATGCCAGTGATAAGATCCTGGGTTCAATTAAATGGCCTTCATGGGAATGGGGTGCCATTATTGCTGTTTATTCAATAACGGCAATGTTAAAGAATTGCTGTGTTTTTAGCCTTACACCATATGCAAGTAAATCATGTGACATCCTATAATGTGAAAAACAAGTTTAGCAAAGATATGTCTGATGTTATATCTTCCTGAAAAAGGAAATGTACAGTTTGAGACATTAAACAATGCTTAACTTAACATTAACATGTATTCCTTTTATGTATATCTCAGGACTTCATGACCTGGGCAGATGATGCTAAAGAGGAAGGCTTTGTCCTTGTGTCTTTTGGAGCTGGTGTGAAATATCTGTCGGATGATGTTGCACATAAATTAGCAGGAGCTCTGGCACGGCTTCCTCAGAAAGTAGTGTGGAGGTATGTACATGATAGGTGAAATGGAGGATCAGTGTTGGTGAAAGAAAATAGAATGCGACTGTTCTTCAACAGATTGATTGATTGATTTTGTCACTTGGAATGTTCCAGTTTTCAGTTTAAAATGCAAATAATGATGAACAGTACTGAGTAAATTGAGGTAATTTCACTATTTTTATATTACAACAAAATTATGAAAAATCTATTTAATTGTAGAATGATTGATTTAAATCAACTGTTTTATCTTTGATCAAAAGTAGTACAATGGAAACACTTGTGTATTGACGCCAGGGTTTATTTTGGTCTAATGGTTACACCTCTAAGCATAAACAGATCAAAGATGTTTATTCCTGTCAACAGAGCTCTCATGATGCTGTTCATGGTGAATTGGATGGCATGAGTTGAAGGGGCCAGGGATTGGGATGAGGGCTTACTTCTCCACTGACCCGATTAGAAAGAAAGTTGTAAGGTACCAGCTTTAGTATATGTTGATTGATTAGCTCCGGGAATGTTTTTTTAGCCATTACAGACTTAAAGTTGTTTGTTTTATTTTTAGCAATTTACAAATCCTTTGAGGAAATAACTTTTTTACTCCAGATACCATGGGCAAATTCTCAAGTTTTCTCCATTAGCAATTGTCTCACTCATTATTCTTGTTTAACAAGTTTTTGGATAAAACAAATAGGACTTTTCATCAATCGAGCAGGAAGGCGGACGTTTCGGGCCTAGACCCTTCTTCAGAAAAGACTCTTTTTTGACTCCTCATTTCTGAAGAAGGGTCTAGGCCCGAAGCGTCCGCCTTCCTGCTCCTCTGATGCTGCTTGGCCTGTTCATCCAGCTGTACACCTTGTTATCTCAGATTCTGCAGCATCTGCAGTTCCTACTATCTCAGGACTTTTCATCAATACCCCCATTGAAACTTGAATAACACTTAACTTCAGGAATTTCTGCTGTGGCATGCAAATAAGTAAATTGACCAGATTAATGCATTTAAGATACAACACAAATGGACCTGCCATTTCAATGAAGAAAGTGTCAATAGTCACAAATAACATGCTGTATTTGCTGATATAGGGGACTCCATGAATTTAGTAATCTGTAACATTTTTTCATAAAAATTATTGCAGAAGATGTTGAATATTTGGGTTGCACCATTTTCTTAAAAGCTGTTTAATTTGTTTAGCAGTGCAAATAGTGTTTGCTTGGGGATTTTGATCCACTGACTGAAATAGAAATGAGTTGGGGCTAGAAATGATGGTCCTCACTTTAAATGACTGTTTTTATATAAAATGATTGCCAGAAAATGCAATTTTGCAGTTTTCTAAAGGTACACATGAGCAATTATTCAATAATTTCCTAAGATTCTCAGAGTATCTGACTCCAACTTTAACAGACTTTTTAAAAAAAAAATTACTAATTTATAGGTTTCCATCTTGAAATGCAATTCCTGTGTTACATCCTGCATTTGATTTTCATAGCGACAACATAGTGATTGAAACAATGGCTGACATTTTTTTGATTGCCATCAGAACAGATTTGAATAATAGTAGTCCTCTTTAGGATTACCCACTTTTTTGTCCGTGAATGTTCGAATTCCAAATGTGGTCTATCCTGAATGCATCATTAGAAGAAATTAAGGAGAAATCCACTTGGCCTGCAAGGCTGCTTATGTGCCAAGATACAGCTTTTTTTTGGAATGACGGCTGCTTCTGTATTTCACAAATTCTTAGAACCCCTACAGAACAGAAAGAGGCCATTTGGCCCATTGAGTTTGCACTGACCCTCAGAAGAGTGTCCCACCCAGATGCAGCCCCCACCCTATCCCTGTAACCCCACATTTACCATGGCCAATTCTCCTAGCCTGCACATCCCTAGTCACTACAGGGAATTTAGCATGGTCAATCCGCTTAACCTGCAGATCTTTGGACTATGGGAGGAAAACAGAGCAGCCAGCAGAAATCTATGCAGACACTGGGAGAACGTGCAAAACTCCACACAAACAGTCACCCAAGGCTGGAATTGAACCTGGGTCCCTGCAGCTGTGAGTTAAATTGTTTTAAGGTCTCAAGGTCAATTGGACAGCCGCTGCAAAATGGCAAGTGAGAGTGTAGGGGGCAGGTGGCTAAGGGGTGTAGGGTGCCATTTGAATGCGGTTATGTTGCTAGTTGGGTTGGGTGGATAGAAAACCAGGTAAATGAATGAGTGTGCTTAGCATAGTATGGGAGTGGGGGGAGAGGCTGAGGACTTCAGAGAAGTGTCGGACCTGCAAGGTGGTGTGGGGCTGTGGAGTGTTGGGTTGGATATGTATTGTCTGGAGTTGTCAGCTGGTTTCTGGTTTGGCAGTGCCAGGAGTTGGGGGTTTTTGAGCCTGACAGGGCCAGGTAGTTGGGTGATCTGGGGAGCAAATTTCATTGGGCCGAACAGGTGGATTGTTGTTACAATGGGGCAGTGGAGGGGAGTGGTGAAGTTTGTAGCGGTTTGGAGACATAGAACATAGAACATGGAACAGTACAGCACAGTACAGGCCCTTTAGCCCACAATGTTGTGCCGACCTATTATCCTACTAAGATCAATCTACCCTGCATACCCTACATTTTACTATCCTCAATGTGCCTATCCAAGAGTCGCTTAAAAGTCTCTAAAGTATCTGACTCCACTACCACTGCCGGTAGCGCATTCCACACGCCCCCCCACTCTGTGTGAAGAACCTATCTCTGACATCTCCCCTATACCTTCCTCTGATCACCTTAAAATTATGCCCCCTCGTAATAGTCATTTCTGCCCTGGGAAAAAAATCTCTGGGTATCCACTGTATCTATGCTTCTCATCATCTTGTACACCTCTATCAAGTCACCTGTCATCCTTCTTCGCTCCAATGAAAAGAGCCCTAGCTCCCTCAATCTTTCCTCATAAGGCCTGCCCTCCAGTCCGGGCAGCATCCTGGTAAATCTCCTGTGCACCCTGTCTAAAGCTTCCACATCCTTCCTATAATGAGGTGACCAGAAGTGAACACAATATTCCAACTGTGGTCTAACCACAGTTTTATAGAGCTGCAGCATAACCTCACAGCTCTTAAACTCAATTCCCCTGCCAATGAAAGCCAACACACCATACACCTTCTTTACGACCCTATCAACTTGGGTAGCGACTTTGAGGAATCTATGGACGTGGACCCCAAGATCCCTCTGTTCCTCCACACTGCCGAGAATCCTGCCACTAACCCTTTTATTCTACATTCAAATTCGACCTTCCAAAATGAATCACTTCACACTTTTCTGGGTTGAATTCCATCTGCCACTTCTTTGCCCAGCTCTGCATCATGTCAATGTCCCATTGCAACCTACAGCAGCCTCCACACTGTCCACAATTCCACCAACCTTCGTGTCATCGGCAGACTTACTAACCCACCCTTCCACTTCCACATCCAAGTCATTTATAAAGATCACAAAGAGCAGAGGTCCCAGAACAGATCCCTGCGGAACACCACTGATCGCCGAGCTCCAGGCTGAATACTTTCCATCTACTACCACCCTCTGTCTTCCATTGTGGGGCGTATTGGGGCCAATATGCTTTGGGAGGGGGTGTTGTCAAGAGGAGTCAGTGACGTGTTTAGGAGTTCACTTTCATAATAATCCAAAAATTGCAGTAGGTTTTTAATCTCCTAACTATTCTTAGACAATGAGCAAATTTGAATCAGAACTCTACGATGAAGTCCTTAAAAGTTAAATTTCTGAGGGTTCCAGATGCACAAGAATTGCTTCAAGAAAATCTCCAATTATCATGTTTATAATGAGAATGTTAATTCCTTGAAGATTAAGGATTTAATATGTTAAAGAAAGTAGTCACAACTTACATTTATATGCCACTTTCAACACAGTGAATCACTTTGGATTTTATAAATATGAAAAATAGATGCCACGTGGGATTGGAGACCCATAAGTTGCAAGAGGATGGCGAGAGCGGTTAGAGTTATTAAGGGACTGAAAGCTTTGCCAACATTGGTATGGTGAAAAGAAGGGTGCAAACAAATAATGCCAGAGGCATTAAGCAAGAGGCATGCATGACTAAACAAGATTACAGATGTGAGGAGGCATGCGGGACAATGAGCAAGACAATGATTTTAACAGAATAGGATATGAACGGAGAGCCAGTGCTTATCTCTAAAGATGAGGGTTGTGGACAAGTTAGATTCAATATGGGGCAGTTGTCAGATAGTAGACTTATTAAGATTCATTAATTCCAGATAATTAAATTTCAGATGTTTTAAATTTGTGTAACGGACAGCGGAAAGTGCCTTTTGAAATAATGTGTGATGACAAAAGCATAAAGGTTTTGTCAAATTTTGTAGAGATCTTGGTGATTGGAGTATATGTGAACATTTTGCATTGACCTAGGTTTGTACTCCAGTTACCTATCTCTTGACGGTCAAGATGGAAGAGTGAGATCAATAGTGAACTTGACTCTCCTTTGTAAATTTGCTTGAAAGTTGGCAACTTTTATTGCCCTCAAAAGTACTACTACACTGTATCCAAGATAGTAGGAACTGCAGATACTGGAGAATCTGAGATAACACGGTGTAGAGGTGGATGGACACAGCAGGCCAAGCAGCATCAGAGGAGCAGGAAAGCTGACGTTTCGGGCTTAGACCTTTCTTCAGAAATGGGGGAGGGGAAGGGGGTTCTGAAATAAATAGGGAGAGAGGGGGAGGCGGATAGAAGATGGATAGAGGAGAAGATAGGTGGAGAGGAGACGGACAGGTCAAAGAGGCGGGGATGGAGCCAGTAAAGGTGAGTGTAGGTGGGGAGGTAGAGAGGAGATAGGTCAGTCCAGGGAGGACGGACAGGTCAAGGGGGCGGGATGAGGTTAGTAGGTAGGAGATGGGGGTTGGGCTTGAGGTGGGAGGAGGGGATAGGTGGAAGGAAGGACAGGTTAGGGAGGCGGGGACGAGCTGGGCTGGTTTTGGGATTCAGTAGGGGGAGGGGAGATTTTGAAGCTTGTGAAAT